CCGAACCGGGGCCCTCCGGTGTCTCAAGCCAGCCCTTAACCATCGCGCCACTCGGCCGGCCCTACATGACTCTCATTATACAAAGAAAGTACATTAAGAAAATGTCACACCAAATTTTTACATAATTTAAGCACATTTCATCTAGTTACAGGAAATTTTAACAGATGTTTTTTGTTTTAGTGATGATAGCCTGGTAATGATGTGTTGGTTAGGATCTCTGAAAGACTTTTTTGGTGTATGTTGTGTATATTTGAAGATCATAAATAATTGACCACTTTTCTTCTGTCTAAAAGTCTTAATTTCTTTTGACATTTCCTTTTCAAAAATTACTTTCTTGGGCTTTTTCCACACATTTTCCTTTTAAGATTACCATACATACAGAAAAGTACACAAATCATTAGTGACACACCATGTAAACACCATCCTGATTAAGAACAAAAGAACACTGTCAATACCCCAGAAGCCTTCTACATATAATCATTGTCTTAGTTTTTATCACCATTAATTGGGCTTGCTTGTTTGTGAACTTTGTATGGAATCTCACATTATGTGTTTTTGGTCTGGCTTTTTTTGCTCAACTTTATGTTTGTGAGGTACATCACTTGTTGCATGTAGCATTGGTTTGCTATACGAGGTCTGACAGTTAAGTTCGTGAATGCATCCTAGAAAAAGTGCTACTTACCTCATTGCTGAATATCACTATGGTCACCTTTGAAGTACTCCCCTTAAGAAGCTATGCACCAATGCCAGCGCCTAGTCCACCCTTCAAAGCAATTTTGGAACTCTTTTTCTAGAATGGCCATCAGAGCTATCATCGTATTACCCTTGATGTCCTGCATGTCATTCAAATGTCTTCCTTTCAATATTTCCTTTATCTTTGGGTAAAGAAAGAAGTCATTGGGGGCCAGATCAGGTTAGTAGGGAGGGTGTTCCAATACAGTTATTTGTTTACTGGCTAAAAACTCCCTCACAGACAGTGCCATGTGAACTGGTGCATTGTCATGATGCAAGAGCCATGAATTGTTGGTGAAAAGTTGAAGTCGTCTAACTTTTTCACGCAGACTTTTCAGCACTTCCAAATAGTAAACTTGGTTAACTGTCCAGTTGGTACAAATTCATAATGAATGATTCTTATGACATCAAAAAAGGTTAGCAACATTGTTGCAATCGAGGACACAATTTTAATACAGTTTTCCTTTATTAAAATGTGTATATATTTTTTTGTCACTCTGTTTATAAATAGAGGTGATGAGTAGTGGTGGAACACCACTAACAGCCACCTTGGCCATATCTTCCTGGATTTTAGTGAAAATACCATTTTAGAGGAATCTCCTGTTACACAATTTCATTTATTGATTTCACCAGTATTTGAATGCCTTCTAAGTGCACTATACCAGACGTTAAGGATAGCAAAGAGGAATAAAGTGCCCCCATACCTCCAAGAAGATCAATGATACATAAACTAACAGTACAGTAATTCCAAAATAATAGAGACATACACAGAAAACTATGTGAGCTCAGAGGAGAGAGTGACTGCTTGGTGTGATATAAGGCAGGTTCCCCAGAAGAGATCTTTTCTGGAAGTTTTGAAGGATGAGCAGTGGGATTAAAAGAGGAAGGACGTGTTAGGCAGAAACAACAGTAAGTACAAAGGTTTAGAAATGTGGAATACCTATTCAAAGGACAGTAGTAAATGGATTGTAGTGTGGCAAGAACACCTACTTCCCCATACCGAAAGCAGACACTGCTTAATCAGTCATTGTATTTTTGCTGCTAAATTTATAAGCAGCTTCAGACTTCTCAATGGGGTGCTTCAGGCAGCCACTACCAATTATATGGAGTTGACACGTGAAGTTGAACCGGTTTGTCTTCTCTGCAGTGGGCATCCACTGTTTCTGGAGTATAGGATGTGTGTGGGAGTGGTGGAGAATGAGACAGGCTGGGGAGGTTATGGTGGCTGGGATCAGGTTATGAAGGACTTTTTGTGCCATACCATTGAATTTGTATTTATAGTCTGTATAGGCAGTGGAGAGCCGTGTAAGGATTTTAGCATGAAAATGATGTAAGCAGATAACTCTTTTTGGAAAGATAACTTTGGGAGCTTTGCAGAACATGGATTGAACTGGTAAAACTGAGGGCAGAGACACCATAGGCATTTCATACTGTCATTAAATCTCGGTAGCCTTTAAGTTGCCCAACCAGTAGAGTATTATGGCTGTTCAGACGGGAGATGATGGAGGTCTGCATGAAGGCAATAGGAATGAGGAGGATAAATCAGATTGAGAATGATATAGGAAACAGAACAGGACATGGTTCTTTAGTTTTTGATGAAGGAATCTTGGAAAGGTCTCAGACTTCCTGTCTGGGTGATAGGGAAGGCAGGGAGGGGCAGGATAAGGTGGGAAGATGATGACTTACACTTGTTGGAAATTAAATTGGCCTGGAAAAAATGTTTTTCCTGTGGAGTATGTTGATTCCTACCAAGTTCCTTTGCTCTTCTAGAAGGTTGCAAACCAATTTTTTTAATGTCACATGGTAACATGGGAAGAACATAAGAATGGATTGCAGAAAATGTGGTTTTCATCTTGGCTCTGGCACTTACCACTTTGTTATAACCGCAGGCAAGCCGTGTAACCTCTCTGACTATGTCTTTATCTGTAAAATGGAAATAATTTATGTGCAGTCCTTCTTACAAAATTGTTGTGAGGAAATTTATGTGAGGGCATTTTGTCAACTCATACATACTGCACACATATGTTTTCACTGAGCCATTTCTTACCTTTGTAAAAAGATGAATATTTCAAGATACTTTGGTTCAAGATTGATAAAGAACTTCTAAAACAGTCTTAAATAAATATACTTGGAAGTCCACAAAATGATTCTTGAGGTTGAAACAATCTGAAGTGTCAGCCTTCATCCTATCATTAGATCTTAGTCACCTTAGGTGCTGCATTAGGTTTTTAGCATACAAGGTGTGATCACAAAATATGGTGAATGTTTAAATAAAAAAATAATTTATTACAGTAAAAGACACATTGCCATTAATCCCCCTTAAAATACCCGCTCTCACTTCAAACACACTTATCCTATCGCTCTTGTCACTTTCTGAAGCAGTTCTGGAAATCCTCTTTCATGAGTGTCTTTAACTCCTCTTCCATTATGACAGTGCTCCATGTCATACATTGCTTCTGGTATGTCAATTTTTGTAAAGTAAAAACATTATGGGTGTCCTCATCCACCTTATCCACTGGATCTGGCACCGTGCGCCTCCTGGCTCTTCCCCAATGTCTAAATTATCGTGAAAGGAAAACATTTGAATTGACTCAAGACATTGACAACCCCTCCTGCCCCAGCTAGCTCAGGAGGCCCGCAACATCTACCAGGAGTTCCTGTCCAGCCAGGCACTGAGCCCGGTGAACATCGACCGGCAGGCCTGGCTCGGAGAGGAGGTGCTGGCCGATCCCCGACCTGACATGTTCCGGGCACAGCAGCTTCAGATCTTCAACTTGATGAAGTTCGACAGCTATGCACGCTTTGTCAAGTCGCCGCTGTACCGCGAGTGCCTCCTGGCGGAGGCGGAGGGACGCTCCCTGCCGGAACCTGGCTTCTTGCGCCTCTGCAGCCCAGATGCCACCAGAAAGAAGCCGAAGCTGAAGCCCGGGAAGTCGCTGCCTCTGGGTGTGGAGGAGTTGGGGCAGCTGCCGCCGGCTGAGGGCCCTGGGGGCCGCCAGCTCCGCAAGTCCTTCCGCAGGGAACTAGCGGGCACCGCGGCAAATTCGGCCTTGCGACAAGAGTCCCAGGGCTCCCTCAACTCCTCCGCCAGTCTGGACCTTGGCTTCCTTGCCTTTGTCAGCAGCAAATCTGAGAGCCACCGCAAGAGCCTTGGGAGCTCAGAAGGTGAGAAGGAAAGCTGGCTAGGGAAGTACTGCTGTGTGTACCTGCCCGATGTCACCGCTTCCTTGGCCCTGGCCCGACCTGGCCTCACCATCCGAGCCATGCTGGCAGGCCTCTGTGAGAAACGTGGCCTCTCTCTACCTGACATCAAGATCTATCTGGTGGGCAACGAGCAGAAGGCCCTGGTACTGGATCAGGACTGCACAGTGCTGGCGGACCAGGAAGTGCGGCTGGAGAACAGGATCACCTTCGAGCTCGAGTTGGCTGCGCTGCAGCGCGTGGTGCGGATCTCCGCCAAACCCACCAAACGGGTACAGGAGACGCTACAGCCTATCCTGGCGAAGCATGGCCTGAGTCCGCAACAGGTGGCGCTGCGCCGGCCAGGTGAGCAGCAGCTGCTGGATCTAGAGAAGCTAGTGAGCTCGGTGGCGGCCTAGAGACTGGTTTTGCACACCCTCCCAGGCGCGAAGATTTCAGAAGCCAGTGACACATCCCCGTGCTGTAGCCAGGGAGTCCCACCTAGAACCCGGGACAAGGCCACCCATCCCCCTCCACTGCCCCTCAACTCGCTGGCCAAGGCGCCCAGTAGTGTCATTGGGACGCGACAGACCTGTGACATTGAAGGCCTGGTAGAGCTGCTGAACCGGGTGCAAAGCAGCGGGGCTCACGACCAAAGGGGCCTTCTGCGCAAAGAGGACCTGGTGCTTCCAGAATTTCTGCAGCTGCCTGCCCAAGAGTCCACCTCCCAGAAGGCCCCACCACAGACTGAATCATCAGCCCATCCCAAAGGGGGCCCCTCAGACTCTACTGCCCACTCGGTCCTCTGACAGCTGTCCAACAGCTCAGGCTGGCTGCATGGCACCTGGCGGGCCGAGCATGCAATAGGCCTGCTCTGCATGCCCTGTCTGTGCCATGAGTGTCTCTGGCCCCTTCCTGCCACGGGCAGGCCCGTAGGAAGAGCCAGGATGGGGTGGAGAGGGGCTCAGAGTAGCCACACCCCATAGCCACACCCCACAGCTGCCACCACTTGGTCCCTCACAGGCTTGCCCACCCATCCCTTGCGGCCAGGCCAGTAGGTGAAGGTGGGCCTCCCCACTCTTCCCTGTGTAGGCATGCCCAACACAGGGGTGGCGTTGGCAGTGCCAGCCTCCCCACCCTGTGCCAAGCCTCATCAGGGAGCAGGAGGAGGGGCCAGCCCCTTCTCAGGGAACAGGTATGAGTAAAGCCTGGGGGTCCAGGTGAGCAGCCCCTTCCTCTACCCACTGGACTCTACCAGACATACAGATTTTGCATTTGGTTTGGGACAGCTGGGTTTGTCCTGGATGTATGACATTGTTATTATAATAATTAATATTCAAAAAAAAAAAAGACATCGACAACTCAACTAAAGACACTCCCAAAAAAGGACTTCCAGAACTGCTTCAGAAAGCGGCAAGAACGATGGGATAAGTGTGTTTGAAGCAAGAGGGAGTGTTTTGAGGGGTATTAATGGCAATGTGTCTTTTACTGCAACAAATTTTTTAAACATTTAAACATTAACCATATATTTTTATCACACCTCGTAGATTGTAATGGGCTGTGGAGAGTCTAGCAGAATGTCAGGGCAAGATAAATAGTGTTTGACCACCATTTATAGTTTTAAACAATTTCCATGTAAATATTATATATTCTTGAATTTGGCTTTTCCTTAAGTTTACCACTTTTTAACTTGTTTGATATACACTTAATAATTTAATTTAGCCTCTTTAAATCCTTTGGGGAGTGAAGGGAGCCTCATTTACATTAATAAAAAAATGTAAATATAACTTTTCCCCTAAACTCTTAGAACCAATTTCATTTGAGACTTGTAAGATAAAACATAGCTTAGATGAAACAGTTGACCTATTTATTTCCTGATGTGTATAAAATTAAATTTTATTGGTGGGGAATGATTAAAGTTCATTAAAGATTTGTTTAATGATAGCTGCTCCCTAACTCTGACCTTCTTTTGTGATTAATGATACGTTTTATTTCTAATTTAAAGAACTTAGGGTTTTACTCATTTATAATAAAAATGTATAACTTATGAAGTTAGCTACAGAAAGGTGTTTCTTGAATATGTATATAGTAAAGGTTAAACAGCTAAACATGTGTGCTTAGGTAGTTTTTATAATTTAAATCATATATACCCAATCTTGATAAAGGGTAAGTAACATATTTGGATAAGTGGATATGGATGGCCATTATGGTGCTCTATCTAAAGGAGCTTGAGTTTGGGGATAGAAGTACCTGAGATACCTCTCTTGCACGTACCTCTTGGCTAGGGTGGTCTCATACATGCTTAGATGTCACAGTGGCAGAAGAGAGTCTTAAGAATAGACAGAGGTGTGTATAAAATGCATGAAAGCCAGAATTCTTCAATGGATAGGAAATATGAGACCATTTGGGATTGGCATTTGCTAGTAGACCTCTTTTTATGGTTTAGTTTGGAGAGATTCCTCTCCAAATTCTCCTTGTTCTTGAGAAATGTGATATAGTCTGTGATCTCAGTGTATTTTTGAGGTCTCATGATATTTAAGTGCAATTAATGTTTGAATTAATATTACATGAGAAAAATTTAAATTCAGATCCATACTGTTAAAGAACCTCAACTTCCATCATCCTGTCCTCTAGCACAGGAGTGTCAGAAATGTGGCTTCAACACTGTGACTCCCTTCTATTCCTGTGGCAAATGTTGCTAAAAGGTCACGGACACCTCCCAACTCTTCTGAAGGTAGCATTGTAGACAACCACTACCATCCAATTAGAATTGGCCCAAGAGGGGGAAACCTATTTACTATACAAGCTTTGAGTTTTGTCAAATTACATAAAATAAAGGTAATATTTGAGTTTTGTTGAAAAAAGTTATGGTGAAACTGAAGAAATTATTTTTCATTGGCAAATACTTGACATTTAATGATATTCTATGAGATGATATAATGCTTAGTTAACTAAGGTCACTGAATAGAAAGAAAAATAACACTAATAATTAAGAAAACTTATTTTTAAAACTTTCGTTTTTTAACAGGGTCAGTTATAAGTTGGTTACTGTAGTGCATGGAATAGGTCAGGAGGGCTTGAGGTCTGCACCAAACTTACTCCTAGATTGGGGTGGGGTGGTAATGGTGGTAAGACCAAACTTCATGGAGAGACAGAAACCAGGGATGTTAGTTCTGTAAAGCAATCAGCCTCCTAGAAGCCTAGTTGTAGGACTTGCTCACCTGATGAGCAAGCAGAATCAGAAGGGGTAGACAATAGCTATAGAAAAGAGCCAGTAAGTGGTCTGTGCTGGGGAAGGTGGTAGTTGGTTTTAGTCACTGGTATTAGGTCCAAGGTCTAGACTCTAGTCCCCAGGAAGGTGACTGGCAGTAATAAGCCAAGGCTTGCTTGCTTTCCTTTTTTTTAAGATAAGGGATTGAGTTACAGAATTAAGGGTACAAAGTACATACTGGGTCTCAAAAATAAAACAGAAATCCACGTTTCAGAATTGGGATAAACTTGAGCTTTATGGCAAAGGTGACTTGAAGCTGAAAGCTTGGGGAACACGGGTGTCAGATGATCTCAAGAATGGAGAATCAGGTTCTGAGGAGGGCCTGTATTCTCCTTGGAATCTCTATCATAGACATATTGTATATGAATGAAGAGATGAAGGAGTATTTTTTCCAGGACTGACCTGGAAACCTACCTTGAATCAGCTCACGCTCTTGCTTAATATCCTCCTGTAGCTTTTCATCAAATCCGAATGCCTTATACTGTTCTTAAAGGCCTGTGTGATCTGTCCCTGCTACCTACCTACCAACTGCTTTCAGGGCCTTACGAGATAGACGCTTAGTCCTGGTTCTGGAACTAACAGCTCTGCAGTTCACTGCTACCCAACTTAAGATTTCTATTTAAATGTTATCTTCTCAAGGAGTCTTGCCTGACTACCCCGAATTGAGTCATTTCTGTCATTTTCTTTCTCTCCCTTTTCTGTCCTTAATAGCATTTATTACCAGTTATAATTATTTTATATGATTTTTTTGGGGTCTGTGTTCACTAAAAAGTAAGCCCTATGGGGCAAGGACCATGTCTGGCTTGTTCACAATATATCATCAATACTTACCAATAGTTTTTAGTAGATGTTCAACAAATATTTATTGAATGAATGAGGGGGCCAGAGGGAAGCTGGCAGGAGGACAGGGTATATCTATTGCTGTCTTTCAATTTCAGCATGAAAAAGAACATACTTTCACATGATCAGATGAGCCTAAACATTGCCCAGAGTTTGAACACATAAGATAAATTTGGAGAGTAATTCCGAGAACTACTTACTCGTCCTAAAAATTGAAGGGATTCTGTGTCTTTTTAGTGGACATAATTTACTTTTCCTTATTCAGCTAATTTGAATCATACTGATAATGTGACTGTGATAATCAGTCATATGCTGAAATTTCTACTCCAAAGACTGCTAACTACCTTAATTTAAAAGTATTCATCTATATAAACATCTATGAATTTTTTTCTGAAACTGTGCCTCAATATCTACCAAATAGTTTTGTGGTTCATCAGAATTGGTGATTCCACTGAGGTGAGGCCATTTCAGAGGTCTAATATATATAAGGTCTAATATATATATTAGACATGTATAAGGTCTAATCCTGAACATCCAAGGCTCTGAGTGGCCCTACTAGGGTGCGTTCACTGAAATCTTCTCCCTGGTAATTTATTGAGCAGGGCTGCTGAATGGAGTTATCTGATTATCAACATTTAGGATTTAAAATGTCTGCTGAAGATGACAGAGTTGTCTTAGTTCTTTATGACAGACATTTTGTATTAGGACTGCTTGTATTACACAACTTCAAAAAAACCCATGTATTTCCTAGCTCTGCCCTTCCAAAAAGGGAGAAGCAACAAAAATCCATTTTGCAAAGGTGCACCTAGCCCATTCCCCCTCAGAGGAACCAGGACTCCTTAGGAAATTGGCTGACTCCAGGGCTGGGACAGGGAAATTATAAGATAAGCTGGAACATCTTTTTGCATCAGAAAGTAATAAAGTGCTCAAAGAATGGTAGAGTGATGTCAATATGGCATGAGTCCTATGAAATAAATTTTTTCAATAACCTCTATTATAAAACAAAATGCTTTCCTGTAAGAGTACCAAAAATTTTTGTGAGAGTGCACAACCACTTTTGGTTATTCAGTTTGAACTGGTGACTAAGTTATGAAAATATGGAAAGGTGGTTAAGTATGAAGTGCCTGACCACCTACACTACTCTGCCACCCAAATCCCTGCCCAGACTCTGACCCAAGAGTCAGAAAAATCCCAATTACATGACAGCAGAGCTTAAAGGAACTTTGGAAATGATCTTGCCCAATCCATTAATTTTATAGATGAGTAATCTGAACCTGATGAGTCAAATGACTTGTACAAAATGGCAGAGTGAGGGCTGGCCAAGTGGTTCAGTTGGTTAAGAGCGGAAGCTCTGAGCAACAGGGTTGCCGGTTTGATTCCCACATGGGACAGTGAGCTGCGCCTGAGCTGAGCTGCCACTGAGCTGCCAACAGGTGGCAGGTTGGCTCAGCTGGTGAGAGCTCATACTCTTAACAACAAGGTTGCCAGTTCCACTCCCGCATGGGATGGTGGGCTACCCCCACTTGCAACTAAGATTGAACATGGCACCTTGAGCTGAGTGGTTCCAGCTGCCTACAGGCCATTGGATGGCGACAGGACTTGGGAGCTGAGCTAGCTGTGCCCTTCACAACTAAGATTGAAGGACAACAACTTGGCTGTTCCCCTTCTCCAATTCCCCAATAAAGTCTTTAAAAAAAGAAAAAATGACAGAGTGAAAAGTAGACTCCAAGGCTCCTGACCCCCCTATCATGAGTGTTGGTGTAGATGTGTTTATCCTGTTCCTGTATTCCCACTTTCAGGGGTCAGGGGGTTAGAGGAAGGGATTGCAGGAGTGTTGTACCTACCATTTATAATACGGGAAAATGG